GTCCAAGGTTTGAATGCATTGCACTGTAAAACAAGGCATTCTTAAATGCTTAAATCAGTTCTTAAGGAGTAGCCTTTCTTAGTAGACGAAATAAAATATTTACTAGAAACTTTGCCAGTAATGCGTGTGTCTTTATAAATAATTTGATATACAGGATGTAGCGTCCCAAGCATGCCCCACTCTGGGTATTCGTAATTATTTTTATCATTTATAAATTTGTTCGCATGCGGAAGAAATTTCTTTTAAGGCCAATATTTAGAGCATGAATTATTTAAAAGCAAGCCTGACATTATGAAAGACAAAACTAGCACCGAATTGAATTGTTTCTTTATTTATCAACACGGATGATATACAAGCGAGAAGATCCCTTCTTGGGGAGACTATCACTACGAGTCACCCATATTGGGTCCATCTATACAGTTTCGCATATTGGTATCATCCAAAAGGTGTCACCCTACATCCGACACTATCTCCCAAAAAGTACCAAGTAGTGTCATCCAAATATGATTCCCTTACTCTGCTTGCCTTCCCGCGTACCCCACTCTCTCTACCCCGCCATCAACACCGCCGCCATTGCTGCCATCCACTGGGTATTTGATTGGCCCCACCAAGCTACCACCCACGTCCATAAATATCGAGACAAAGCGTAGGGGCACCCGGTGTCTAGATAGACCCACATCCATCCAAAGGGTGGCATCGTAGCGTACCAACATGACCATCGGAAAATCAAGGCGATGAAAAGGGTGAGGCAGCCCTCGAACTTATCAGGGGCTCCGAAGAAGGTACCCGGGGTCACTGGCGGTGGGAGACTATAATTAATAAGAGTGAGCCATAACTCAACTAGGGAACATCTATCACCCTATACTAAGCGAACAACAATGTGCACATCAGTCAACATAGACATGACAAATACCAACTTGGACATACCAGATGAGGCAGACATACCTTGTTGCGCACATTCTATTAATCATTCCAAAGATGATGGTTTAACATTGACCATAACGAATAATCGCATCATTCAGACATGCGCACACAATTCAACACTTGCATGGGTATCATTTCCTCACTCCAAGTCGCATGCCCGGTGCGCTTGCCGGCTATGCAAAGAGGAACACTCCGGTCTGGCAGGGTTCGGTGCACACTCTGATCTGCTGCTGTGTACATCAAAATTCTCAATGGCCCGCGCAGGCTTCGTGATCCACTGACCATGGCATCCCGATTACACTCCCGAGGCATCTAGGGAAAAATCCTCCTAGGCATCTGGTTCTCACAACCAGGCATCTTGCCTTCCCTTCGGCTCCTTGGGGCATTATCGGTCCGTAAACCGACGGCATTCAATAACCCAGCAAGCCACACATATAATCAACTCATGCAATCCACAGATCACCAACAACAATTAATCTTTTTCAATGTCACACAAACAACAACACAACAATCAATCCTTTCTAGCATCACTTGCCGGTTACAAGCTTATTTATGAATTTGGCCTCACTTGCCCCATCATTTGACATCCAATCAAGGTATATCATATCTTATTTGAAAGGTCAGAATGTTTATATTCTATCTCCAGAAGACATCAAATCGAGATTCCCACGTCTTCACCTAGAAATTAGTGAATCTTTGAAAAAAGGGTAAAACTGGGCAGCTTTGCACCGTTTTCAAAATCGGATTAAAATAAGTAGTAAATGAACTTCAAAAATTATAAATTTTGAATATGTCACAGAAGACACCTTGATAAACAATTGTCATGAAGAATAGTCTAAATCTTTTTGTAAATAGCTCGTTCGAAATATTAAAGTCAGACCAAAAACTGGTCCGCTGTAACAGAATGATTGAACTGCAAGAAATACTCGTTTCGCAAATCAAAACTTTTCAAAACACTTCGAAATTTTTATACGTCGTAGAAATTGATTTCCTAAACAACTTTTGTGAGGGAAGTATGTCAAATTTCGAACTGGAATTTTTATAAAAATTCGAGAAGACATATAGGTCACTGATTTTACTGCACTGGACAGATTTAACATGGTAAGAAATAGGGTCTTCGTGCAACCCATTTGAACTCATAAAAATATGAATTTAAAGTATGTTATATTCCAAGATGTTTTGAACAACTTTCATGAATAAAATTTCCCCAAATTCGTTCCGTAAAAATCTATATAAAAATGGAAAATGGTAAAGGTACAGCAGTACCAATTCTGGAAATCAAGTCAAAAGTTCAACAAGTAACCCAAAACTTAACCACACGAATTTTTGTTCATGAAACTCCCAAACCAGAAGCTGACCTCCACATACACCATTCATCTCCATCAATATCCCGAATCTATGATCAATTCGACATGCAACTGGCTCCTAGTTTAGAATAGGGAGGCAGAATTCCACTTGCCTCGACGTCGATTGAATTTGGCGCTGTTCTGGCAAAGAAGGGAGTGCCAAGTGTCTCGGCTTCTGGTCGCGCTTCCTCGGTTCGTGGCTCACAGGTTTCGTCGGCACGAGAATCTTCCGGGCGGTCCTGCGGCTGGTTGGACGGGCGGAACAGGCGAGCAACGCCGTGGATTTGTCGTGGAAGGAATCGAGCCGCAACGAGCAGAATGAAACAAGATGAGCAGGGGGAAACCGGCAGAATTGACCGAGAGGGGAAAGTTAATCGGTAATTACAAGGGGATGAAAATAATTTCCCCCTCTTGCATGTAGGAATTGGGTGGCTTGTGGGGGTGTTGGCATGTGGCTTAAAGGGTTTCAATCGTGGCAAGTGAAGAGAACTGAAGAAGCGGCTGATGTGGCGGCAATTGAAGGAAGGAGGAGGTGGCGGATTAGGTGGTGTTCTAGTGAGAAAGAACAATGGCGTGGCATGATGTTGGAAGGAAGAAGTGGCAGAAGGTGGCTAATGTTTGGGGATCAACGTGGCGTGCTTAGGAGAAAGAAAAATGGGGGTGGTGGTGTTCATGTAGGAAGGAAGGATGGCGTGGAAATTGCAATTGCAGAAGACTATGTTGATCGTGACCATTGGATGTATGAATTCGGCACAGATGGCATTGACGTGCACGAATTCGGCTAGATGGAACACGTGACTAAAACTCGTAATGTAACGAAGGACATTGTAAGGTCAAAACGGTTAGTTTGTAAAACGATATTACGGATGAAAAGATAGGTAGTTGTAGAGGGATCTTGTGGTGGTGGTTACGTAATAATATCCGAGTCTTTCGAAGTTGGTGCTTCCGTAGCTCATCGATACTTATTCAAATTCCCACGTAACGTTTCGTTACGTACGTTCGTTAGACGGACTGACGAACGGAATTTTTGGGATGTCACACCCAGCTCGCACCTCACGCTGGTTCTTTGCTGCCTAGAGCCCCAAGTCTACTAAGCAGCGGGCAGAGGGCCCTGTACAATATCCCTATGATGCTGTGCAATGGCCCAATGGCCTTGAGTAAGGCCCTAGGTCCCTTGTGCTTCCATTTTTTCTATTTAAATAGGGGGTCAAATGCTCATTTTTTTTCAAGGTAAATTATTTTGGTAAGACTCCTTATGTATTTTGAAGATGACAAAACATTTTATGTGAAGTTATATGTGTTTTTGAGTGCGCGGACAAATTGTTTTCTATATATACAAGTTTATATGCATATGATGTTATCAACAGGATGTCTATGCTATTGGAGAATTTCCTTCCTCTGCAAATAGAGAATAAGATGCTTAGTGGAAACTGTTAAGTTTGGAAGAACCTTTAGATATTGGTGAGCACGCAAGGTAACTGGGATCATTGAGGTGATTGGACGGACCAAATATTAGGTAAGTTCATCAATATTCTTGGGAGGACCTAAGTGTAGAGGGTGAACATGTCGAGATTAGGTGAAATCGCCAAGTTTGGATGTATCGCGTTGTAAAAGAAGTTTACATTATCGATGGAGTGGACAATACTCCAAGTACACGGAAATAAAGACCTAACTCTAAATGGATTTAACTCAAATTCTAATAGATACTTTGAAGCCAATTAATTCAGGCCTTAGAATTCGCGAGAGATATTGTGGAAAGTAAGATGGAGATTGATATCTTTGACTAAGCAGAGGGTGTGTCACTTAACTTCGTAGAGGCAGTTTGATCCCTTTTGGGCAACATTTATTTATTAATTAATTTATTAATTTAATGTAAATAGCCCCTATGACTGTGCATAGCGTTTTCATCCGACGTCAATTTGACACTATTTTCATGTCCCTAGAAAAGCTTGTGACTCAAATCAGATTTCCGAGAATTGGGCCAAACAAATGGTTCTGGTGGAAAGTTAATATATTTTCTTCAATAAAAATCCGATCCAAGTGATTATTGGGGTTTCGAAAAACTTATGACTTGATATTTAAGATGAAATTAATCAATCGGGTCAAATCACAAAAGTTTTGACACCTCACAATCGAGCAACTATGGTTAAAAGTTGCGATATCTTGAGAATCGGCCGTTCAACTTCAGCAAATTGGATATTGTTGGAAAATATAATTATATCCTTGGATAACACCAAGCCAAATCTATAAAGCAGTGCATTCAAAATTTCATGGTGACAGACTCCCACTCCAGTGGGAAATTCTTGATTTCAAATTTATCGAAGCAGTGAGTGTTGGAAAAAACATAAACTTAGTTAAAATTACGAACGGTTGGTATAACTGGGGTGTGATCTGCAAGAGCAACAACGCTCAATTTGCCCGCATCAAATATCAAATATCATAATCACAACATCTTCTACTTAAAGCAATCTTGGAGGCTAGATAGTCATCAAGTGATGGAGCCTTACCTAATAGGGGTGAGCACGGTTCCAGGGTAGAACCGGAAACCGAAAAACCGAACCGGCGGGTAAGGTTCGGTTCCCGGTTCTAGGGTGAGCGGTTCCGGTTCTCGGTTCCAATTTTTTAGGAACCGGAACCGGAACCGGAACCGATGCTCTTCCTAGTAAAAAATAAAAACCCTAACTTTTCTTCACAAATTTCTCTCTCGGTTGCTCCTCCGTTGCGCCCTCTCTCCCACTCCCCACACCCACGACTCGACAAGACCCTCTCGCCTCTCCTCGCTCCGTTTGGCGTCCGCCTCGGCTCTTCCTCTGTCTTCATCAACCACGGTCCAGCTCATCCACGGCGGATTTCCGAGGCTGGGTTCTTTTGGTGACCAATCGAGCGGCCTGTGGCTGGAGGCGCAAGAAGGGAGCGAGCAAGGACAAGAGTAAGCTTCAGTTGACGCCCGCGCTCCCTCTGCCCACTCCTCCCCTCGCCAAGGCATGGGCTCGAACCCCTCGACTTCGATCATCGATGCGACCTCAAAATTTGACGTCTTTTCTTTGGGTGGTGTGGTTTCAGTTTCAGATCGGGCTATGCCAACTTTCGGTGACGGCGGATAAAGAGAGGAACATTGCCCATGCTCGCGACGCGATTCGGGAATTTTTTTTTTCTTTCCGAAAATGGGCATCAAGGTAGTTCCACCTCCCTCTTCTTCATTGTTGATTGAGTCGTCCGTTGATTTCGATAGGGGCTGATGAAGCTACTGGCGGACAATGCCCCTAAGGCGATGAGGGAGCAGAAGCTGGAGAGCTACTTCGGCCGGAGGATCGCCGTCGATGCCAGCATGAGCATCTATCAGTTCCTCGTTAAGTGCTTTGCTTTTTATGAGTTGATGTTCCTGATTGATTGTGTGTTTCGGTGTCGGCGGGGATTTGGATTTTGAGTGTTGGGGGTTTTTTTTGGTCTTTGATTGGTGGATCAGGTTGTGGTTGGGAGGAAGGGGACTCATATGCTCACCAATGAGGCTGGTCAAGTCACCAGGTACCACTAATGGTGTAACAGCCCGAATTTCGATGTAATTTCCGGGATCAATGAAACTGATATTATTTCGCATTTCATTTTAGTAAGTCTCACCCAGAGCTGATCACTCTCGGGATACTAACCAATAGGGTATGGCTAACTAGAAGATGGTACGTGGACCGGGGACCCTATCGCGAAAGGGATACCGATCACGAGAGACTCTGAGGAAATATTTTGGGCCAACATGAGCCGATCTTAGGAAAGGTAACGGATTTGGTTTGGCCAAGGCCAACGATGTACGATTGGGACGCAGGTGATTCTGCAAGACCAAAAGTGCACGTGGTCAACCAGTCCGGAACTTGAACCTAATGATTGTGACCTCGGGAACTAATGATAATTTCTCATTCTCTCAATGATCGAGACCATCACGATACGAATAGCCCTAGGTCGATACGCGTAACCTCTAAACAGCCGCCCGTTAGTGAGAGACTCTGAAATTGAAAGTTTAGCGAGTTTTGTTCACGGAATTGGGCCCGGATTTCGGTATCGATTTTCAAAGGCTTAAGAGACTATTTTTAGGAATCTGACGTCATATTACGCTGGCCACTCACATGTGGAGTTAGTACGAGTAAAAATTGGAATTTCGGTCCGGGGGTGAAAAATTACGATTTTGCCCTCGGGATGTCAGCGTCGCTTTTCGAGGCCAAATGAGGTTATTTTTCGTGGCCGATGCCATTTTTGGGTGGCCACGCTTACCAGGAGTCATTTTGGACAAAAACTGGAATTTCGACAAAAATTGGAAAAATAATATTATTTTATTCCCGAAACTTTGACGTGGATTTTCGAGGGCTTGCGCGATGAATTTCGCGATTCCGACGCCATATTATGTTGGCCACGCATATATGGAACGCGTATGTGCGAAAATTGGAATTTCGGTTCGGGACCGGAAAAATGACGGTTTTGCCCCTAGGCCATTTTTGGTTCCGAATTTTGGGAAAATTTTAAGGAAATTAATTAAATTTGGACTTATCTTAATTATGGCAATAAAGGACCTAAGTGCCCATGAATTATTGGATAAGATCTAATGTGAACCATTGGATGAGGGGTAAAATGGTCACATTGGCTTGATTTTTGACACTTGGCACCCCTAGTCTAGATGTTTGACCAAGATAAACTCTCTCTCTCTCTCCTCTCACCCTCATTCTGGCCAGAACAGCTCCCTCTCCTCCGTAGCTCACTCCCCCTCTTCTTTTTCTCTCTTGATTTTGCCTTGCCGGAGCTTGCCGTTGGCTACCGGAGCACGCCGCCGGCCGCCGTGCCTCGCCGTGCCGCCCGACCCCTTGGTCCCCCGCCACAGCTCAGCCTCGGTTCCGTCCATTTCTCTCTCCCTTTCCCCCTCTTTTTCCCTCTTTTTCTCTCTTTTTCTCAATTTCTGTTCTGTGAACAGTACCGCCGGAGCTTCGCCGGAGCTCCGATCGCCGTTCCGTCGACACCCGGCTGTTCAGCATGTCCATACGTCGCCGTTCAGCCCAGTCCGTACAGTGACCGTACAGTTACTGTTCATCGTCCGTACGGTCACTGTTCATCCATACCGTACGGCCGTCGCCGCCGTGACCGGCGCCTCGCCGGCCACCGTTTTCCCAGCCGTCCGTACAGCGTGCCCGTACAGTGGTACTGTTCACGCGTCCGTACGGGGGTACTGTTCACCCCCCGTCCGTACACCGCCCCGCCGTCCGCCGGGAATTCCGCCGCCGGTTTCACTGTTCATCAGTGATCGGCCGCCATTCCCCGTCGTCGTGACCCTTGTTTTGGTGAGTAAAATTCCTAAACCCGGATTAGGACTGATGTTGCATTTTTCTGGACTGGTTTAGGTGTTATCGGTGCATTTTGGACTGGCTTAGATAATAGCAGTGTGTAATTGAGACTGGGTTGAGAATTGATTGGTAGAAATTATTATCGGAAAAATTTAGTGGATTAATGAGAATCGTTGGGGAGGATAATAGGGGTTAATGACCAATTTAGGAGTTCATCGGTGAAATTGCCGGGTATGCCCGGGTTGTCTGAATTATATTGGTGCTCGTGGTTCATTGCATTGCATAACATGGACACGCATTGCGTATGCCAAGAGTGAGGCATGTGATGAAAATTGTGCGAGAATGCGTGTCTGCCATGAGCATGTGATCACCTAAAATACCACGAAGCGTTATACGGCTGGGTTCGAATAATAATGAGTGTGTGATCACCTAAGGACCTTCGGGTCGATACCGTCCTCATGCACTTTGAAGCGGGACGATGCCCGTACGTCCGGAAGGCGACCATCCTCATGCACTTTGAAGCGGGCTGCGGTTCGCAAGGAGAACAGTGTTGCGCCTCATGCACTTTGAAGCGAGGCTAGAGACACCGGGCCGAGATCGGATCTTGCGCCTCATGCACTTTGAAGCGGGCTAGACGCACCGGGCCGTGAAAAATTGATGACTCGAGTCGTAATAATAATTAATTGGGCAAGTGTGCCGGTGTGGGCCGATGGGCCAAAGAAATGTGCATGACATGTCAATGACATTTGCATGCATAAACATGCATTGAATGGCATGCGAGTGTGTGAGACTCGGTGTATGAGCATGTGATTGGCGTACGTGTGATAATGTGTGCCACGTATGTCCCGTGATTATTACATATTGAACTATCTAACCTGCAGGGTCAGAGAATTGTATGATTATGGTTGTGTTATGATTTTAAATGTTTGTTTCCAGTCAGGAGATTGCATGCTAGCCTAGCCTAGGTTTAGGGGTTGAACTCACTGAGATTCGTCTCACGGTTGTGTAAACCGAAACATTTTCAGACCCCCAGCAGTAGGATGCCAAGGTCACCACCTCTTTTTGGGAATACCGCCTTTTATCCAGCAGTCGTCGAGCATGCACCCCGGTGGGGATGGAGCGGAAACAGGAAGTGGCTGTTTGGGTTATTCCAGTTGTGGTGTTTCCTTTTTGGTTGTCGTGAACACTTTGTAAAAGAGTTTTAAAATAGTAATATAAGTATGTACATATTTTCTGCGTTGATCGTTGTTTATTGGATGGCTATCCTTGGCTCATATTGTAATTGTCTGGGTTTGTTTGTTTTATACTTCCGCTTGTGCTTGATCTCTGTATGGGCATGGGTCGGCGACGCTTCCTGGGACGTCGCACTGCAATCGACCAAGGTAGGGATGTTAGCGCTTCGTAGGGTACGGGGCGTGACAAATGGCATCGGTATACTCCATGGAAATGATAATCCACTTTGCTCGAGTTTCTGTTTTGATGCTTCAGTTGTTATTGCTTGGACTGGGGTTTATGTATATGAGATCGACGTGTGTCACATTATTTTGTACTTGCCATGTGATCTTTGTTCTTGGGAAGTGTTGACTTTGAGCTGCTTTTTGATTTGTCGTCTCATGTAGTCATCTGCAAGGCATGCATTACCGAACGATTAGGCTGTTGGAAGCAGGGATACAGCCAGTGTAAGCTTTTTTCTTTACCTCCTATGTTTTCATTGGGATAGAATGCTAAGAAGAATGAAGTTTGTGCTTCTCTGAATTATGCTTTATGTTGTTATGATAGCTACGTATTTGATGGTAAACCTCCTGATTTGAAGAAGCAAGAGCTCGCACAACGGTACTTTATTTTTATGTAGCCTTATCTTCTCTCGTTTTTTTTAATTGTCTATGAATATGTTTAGATACCTTAAATGTGAAGGTTTTTCTTTGTTTTGATCACTTCCTTACTGTGCGATATTTTAGTTCTATTCGATGAGAAGTTTGATGTTGTCTCTGTTTTCCAGAAAAACCTATCTATGTAGCTAACCAGATATGTGTGCGCATGTGGTACATGGCTTTGATACCATTGCAGGTGACACAACAGCACAATGAAGACTGCAAAAAACTATTGAGACTTATGGGTATCCCAGCAGTTGAGGTTACTATTCTGTCTGAGAAGTTCATTCTTCTTTATTCGTAACAAAAATGTTAGATACCAGATTCAGTTTATGTATGTCAGGCCCCTTCAGAAGCAGAGGCACAATGTGCTGCTCTTTGAAAAGCTGGAAAGGCATGTATCTTCCTGGTTGATCGTCTTCTGATTTAGAATAATTCATTGTTATCTCATGATAATCCAATCATCTAACTCTATGGGAATGACATTTTTTTTGCATGATTTCGTGTAGCTGCGGAAAGTTTGGATGTGCCTCCTGATTGCAAAATGGGAAATTTATGGCTTACAAGAACTTTGTATACCTTATCAAATGCCCTTTTGTGAAGGCGTGCACTAGAAGAAAGAATGGATAAAAGCATCTTGAGCAGGCACGTGTCTGTTTCATCAGTTTTGGGTGACTTTTTGTGGCTAAGTTCTTATTGATGCTTATGTAATTGCTATGTTTTTATACTGCAAGCTTTGGCTTCTAGTAAAATCAGCCATATTTGCAGCCTGCGCCGTTCTATAAAAGGAGGGAAAAATCACGCAGCTTGCCTCATGGTTTTGTTGACTCTGTGCCAGGAAATATGGAACAGTCCCTATTCAAATGATAGCTTCCCTGTTTATGCTGAGGACATTGATGGAGGTTCATCTCCTTCAACTGCTATGTTATCTGAAGCTGCTAAGGCCTTGAAGGTTACCATAGTGGGCAGTTCAAACCCAGAAAGATGTGGTGATCGATTGTACAACGCTTGCTGTGTTTTTGGTTCCATTGGAGTGCTGAAAGCCAAGCACCGCAAGGTAACTTTTCTTTCCTTAAGTAACCATGTATGGAACATTTAGTTGCCTGAGTCTTCTGGTCTATTTGTTGTTTGAGTTGTTTTCTTTTCTTTTCTTTTCTTTTTGGCTCTATGCAGACGTTGGACGTATTGGTATAGGCATACATTATGATATTCGGTTTCGAGGAATTGGCAATGATTTATCTTGTAAGAGGTAGGTTTCGTTTCCTCTTTGTCTATTTTGCATTTCCTACAATGTTGACTGCATACTGGTGCTGGGGTTGCCGCTGGCCCAGTCTATGCAGTTCGAAAGTAAGAAGATTTCTGACAGTAAACATGTATGTCTTAAGTGGTGGACCTTTGGATTGTTTTCCTTTGATTTATTTTCGTTTTATCCCTTCCAATGATTTTTAAGTTGAACATCAGCAAAGTAAGCCTTGCACGAAGGGGGCTTAGCTGTATAAATGCTTTTAGCCTTTTACGACATTGCGATATGTCCTCTATTGCTTTTTGTATAGAAGATATCTCATTGCAATAATGAGTCCTAATTAGCTAGTTTTTGCCTCCTCCACTATTATATTGCTTTAAGTTTCTTTCCTAGATTAATGAGGTTTGCTATTGGTGTTGCTAATTGGCCTTTTATTGACAATATCATTCTACTAAATATATTTGCACTGATCAATTGATAATAAAGTTATATGATGCTGAACTCTTGGTGTTTTCTATTCTACATAAATGGATCTAGGTTGTTAGATAATATCCCCTTTCTACTAAGCGAAATATTGTTTTTTAATAACTAGTCATTGTTGCGTTTATTTTCGTTTTGTTTAATTAAAAACGAAATTAAAAAAAAGAACCGTTGGAACCTGGAACCGACCCTGGAACTGTGACGGGGTAGGTTCCGAGGTTCCAGTTCCACGGGTAGGTTCCAGGTTCCAAAAAATGAGGAACCTGTACCCAAGGGTAGGTTCCAGGTTCCAAGCGGAACCGAACCGGAACCTGGAACCGCTCACCCCTATTACCTAATGCAGGTAAATGGCGGGACTTGTCCCGCATCAATAGAATTAGCTCAATCGAAGGTTTGAATGCATTGCGCTGTAAAACAAGGCATTCTTAAATGCTTAAATCAGTTCTTAAGAAGTAGTATTTCTTAGTAGACGAAATAAAATATTTATTAGAAACTTTGCTAGTAATGCGTGTGCATTTAGAAATAATTTGATATACAGAATCCACATGGCATACCACTAGTTTCTTAATTGAAAGTCAGAGCCAGATTTTGAGTTGAATATATGAACTTTTTTCTTTCAAAATGTTTGACAATGTTGGTTTCATTGTCTTTGCATGACTTAAAAATGTTTAAAAGTTTGTTAATTTTTGGGAAATTTCATTGTGATAGAATATATAGTTTTGGCATAAAGCTATTATATATAGTCTAAACCGAGACTGAAAGAATGTTCACTCCGGTGCTCGCCACTTGACATTCTCTTTGCTTCTACAATTGGCACATGGCATGACATGTGGCTTAATTCTGTTACGTGGCCGACATTCACATGGTTGCTGTGTGACACTTCACTTTACTTTTCTGATTGCCTCATGGCATGACAAATGGCATACTTTTGCCATGTGGCTCTTATCCTACCAATATCCATTAGCTGTTTAATTTGTCATCTCCAAATTCATTCTCTTACAACATATGTGTATAGATTTATAATTACTAGTAAATTTTCTAAGTGTTTATTTATTTCTGAATACAACATGTAATTCTCACAAAATCGGTTCATAGTAACTTTGAATGACATATTAGTTTTGCTATTTTGCAGAACTTCCAAAAATTGAAGTACATTAATTTTAGTAATTGCAAGTCCCTAGTTTGTATCCCTGACCTCTCATGTACTCCAAATCTCGTGGAATTGGTTCTTATGAATTGCAGAAACATGGTAGAAGCCCACGAGTCAATTGCATATCACGAGAAGTTACAGGTGTTGACTTTAAAGGGGTGCTCTCAACTTAGTGTTTTTCCAAAAGTGCTCAAAAAATCTCAGACATCTTGATCTTAGTAAGTGCAAAAATTTTGAAAGGTTCCCTGATATTCCAAATAAACTCGAAAGGTTGAAATTGCTTTGTTTATAAATGACCGCTATTAAGGAACTTTATGCGTCAATAGAAAATCTTGTTTCTTTGGAGGAAATGAATTTATGTTATTGCAAGAATCTGGTTCGTCTTTCATCTAGCATATTCAAATTACAAAACATTGAAAAATTGGATCTTGATGACTGCACAACCTTAATTGGGTTTCCAAAGTATGATGATTCTGCTGATCCGTCGGTGAAGACCAGACTTTCAAATTTACAATATTTAAACGTTTGGGGATGTAAATTATCTGAAGTGGAGTTTCTTGAGAATCTTTTTTGTTTCCCCTTATTGAGCCAATTAGATTTGTCGAGGAACAATATTACTAGCCTTCCAACATCCATCAATAAGCACGATCATTTGTCCATATTGGGAGTTCCAGATTGCTATCAATTACAAGAGATTCCCAAGCTTCCACCATTTTTGAATTACTTTTGAGCAGAAAATTGCAAATCTCTTTAAAAAACTGGAGATCTCATTTCATCTTATGAAATTGCCCTTAAAGGGCTGAGCATGATTCAGAAATTCCCAGTTACTCTCTCTCTCTCTCTCTCTCTCTCTCTCTCTCACACACACACACACACGCACACACACACACATATTGATGTGGAGTGTATGCTGGATCCAGTGTATGCTTGTATATTGCAACAGCAGAAAAAGAGAGATTGGAGGCTTAAGAAAAGAAAATAAATCTAAAGTGGTTCTGCCCATATATGCATATGACGGAGGTGGCTTTTGTTCTTTTATAGGAATGATTTCTATCACATGAGACTTGTATATTAATATAAGCAAGGATGAACGGATATCTACTCAATTATGGAGCTCTAGTTAGAAGTGGAATTCGCTAGGATTACTTACTAAACTCAAATTGAATTCTTCTATTCGGGTACCAATAACAAACTTGGTTACTTTCTAATGATTTATCCTATAACAGGAACATCGTTACTACTCTATTGAACTCCCTGGAGGAGAGATGCCAAAGTGGCTCCTCCCTGTTGAAGAACGTTCCATATCTTTCCGTGCTTCAAAGGACTTGTATGACAAGTTCATTGGATTCACATGTTGTGTCGTTCACAGTAATGTATGATATGTCTTCTTATTGTTTTTTTTTGCTAAATCCTCTTTTCTTCGCCATAGGCAAACTTCTTATTTAAAGAAGTAGGTGAAGTCTAGGTTCAAAGGAAAAACAATCGAGGGAGAGTGAAACAACGGAAAGTAGGGGGTACATGGTTTGGTTCAGTCCGCTTTTCAGGCCAAAAACCAAGCCAATCTGGTTGCTATATAGGTTGGGAACTCCCTTGTGCGAAACCAAGCATTAAAGCGGACAATTAGCCACACTGAAGAGAGAGAGAGACTTGGGTGCTTTTGACGTGTCAAGGAAATGTCGATGTGCAGTATGTACAATTCATACCGATATGTCCTCCGTGTTCTCATCCCTCAACGACCTCATTTATGAGCTCTCCTTCCTCAAGGACCACCAAGTTGTGTTGCAACTGAATTTAGGGGCTAGGGTTTCGTTTAGAAACCAATCTAACCCCAAACGACTATGTACTAAACATATGTTATGTGCACATATCTCCAACGAGTCAAGTCATTTAATTTATTCTTAAAATAAAGTCGCTTTGAATTCTCAAGTGACCTAAATTGCCAATGTCCCTTAAATAACGACTCTATTGTGTAGACTGATTAGAGATATAATGCCATGCAGACATTTAAAATCGAACGATGGGTAATGATGTTTAAAAAAAGCAGAAAGGCACATTCATTTCTTAAACCACATTTTCCATAAACAGTTTTATTTAACAAAGTCCCTTAATTTGTGTTTAACGCAAAGTAGTTTCCTGGTGCATATGGACTTTAGTTTGAGTCGGTCAATTGGTCTTTGCTATTGCCTATACGTAATGATGCATGTCAAGTTATATTTTATAATTTCTAAGTCTCAATGTACTATTAGCAGAAGGTCGTATACTGATTTTCTGCCTAGGCGGGGACTCGAAGAACAGCATAGTCTCCAGGCCCTTAGCCTTTTTCAATCATTCTTCTTTTTCCCCAGTTTTGATTGGGTGTCTATGCAATAGGTAGTGATATTTTTCAGTTTTCAATGCAAAATATTATTTACGATGTATGAAGGGCAACTAGCTAATATCGTGACATGTGCAACGTTGTACGTAGAATTTATGGCTTAAATAAATGCAAAATGACATGCATTGGTCATACATGTAGCATAAATGATACAAATTAACACAAATGACATGCATTTTCTGCAATTAAACTTATTGCAAAGATTGTTGATCATGAGATCGTTGTGAAAGGTTCCAACTTCTTTCATCATTTCAGGAGTAGCATTTGCTCTTGTGAGGATTATTGGTAGCAAGGGCATGTGGTTATTTCTCCCATCATGAACTTGAAAGCATCCTGAAATTGCTCATCCTGTTAGGCATTGATGAGAGTGGTCAGCAGCTCCAGCGGCACTATTTAATATGGGCCCACCTTTATCGTTGACGAAATAGACAATGAATTCACGTGGAATCCGTGGCTAAGGGCATTCAAGTATTTCTCAGCTGTATGAGTTGGGCAGGTGGGAAGTTGGTCGACTTGTAAGCATCCTGGAATTTTTCGTCTTGTTAAGCATTGATGAGGGCCTTGAGCAGCTACACCGGCGCTATTTAATATGGGTTTACATTTATTGTTGACGCAATAGACAATGAATTCATGTGGAACCCATGGCTTTTATATCAGCCCTTGGTTTAGTCTAGTAGGCCAAGGGCATTCAAGTATTTCTCAGCTGTATGAGTTGGGCAGATGGAAAGTTGGGAGACTTGGCACGCAATCTTTCTTTGGACATGGACTCCATGCCGGAATTTCTATTAAGAAGTGAGAATTTATCCCTTTGCTTATGGCTGTGACCCCACCTAAGAAAATATTCATACGTAAGATATCCCTTCCGAAGAATTAAATCAAGTGAGAAAACCTAGACCCTTGATAAAAGCTACTTTCTGTTTCTCTCCAGCAGAAAGAGAGATAGAACTAGGGGCATTCAGACCTGCCTCCTCTCTTCTCTTCTGAATTGGAATTGAAAGTTGGTCCTTTTATGAAAAGTCCGTTGTGATCTGATTCGCAATAAAACTTTATTAATATTCATTACTTGCTAGCTTGTATTAGATGTTTATAAGCAGCATCAATACTGGTAAGGCTTTGGGATATCTTTCTTCTCTCCCAGATGCCCCATAAATTACAATGGTTACTCTTTCAATGAAGTGGTTCACAAAATAGTAGTAAATGCATCATACTCCAAATTCATACCGGAATTATAGGGAATGACCAGCTGGTCTATAAAGAATGAAGCCTTTAATGATAACCTTCTCATATAAATTTAACTTCATATCATATTGTTCATCAGGTAAAATTTGTATTCACAAAACTTATAAATATCCAAACCATTTTCTACAGGAATTCACATGAACTCTCAATTTCTTAGAATTTCTTTGGTAAATGTCAGTTTAGGTCACCTCATAATCATATCACTCTCCACATGCCCCCATATCGTCTTCTTTGTTCTTGTGACATAGAATAATAATAGAAGGAGCAAGCAAAATCAGAGATCAACAACTGACAATCATCGTTTGACAAAAAAATAGTGACAATCATCGGTATGTCGATGAGATCAATAAACGATTAATGCTGTTTTTATATATATATGTATTGACATAATGCATTGTGGAAGTAATACCAATAAATATTCTCAAATAACATGAGTATTCCATGTATTCTCCATAATTCAATGCATCACATAATATGTATTAATAACATAAACCATATAGTAGGCAACAAATATCAGTGTCAACCACTCATGTCAAGAAACCCTATGGTCACATTTGCGCCAAGTGACACGATTTGACATCCATATATTTATATATATGCACAGCCCAAATTAAAGATTTTTTGAAGCGTATTATCGTAAAAGCTATCGAGCTACTGCATACAAATTGCTCTATATCAAAATTGCTATTACAGGTCAAGGCTTAAACTTAATTTGTTCTTAGAACTTGAAGATGTTTTATGGGTGTTCAAGGTAGCTAGGCCTTTGCGTTCATGCTAGTAATTGTGCGTATAAAAAAATGAAATAGGGTTAGACCTATTATATGCTTAGTTGTGCATACAATTATAGATCTTTTGAGTGGTCACATGTCAAATTATTACTGATCATTCGAAAAAAGGAAAGCAAAGGAAAAAAAAACTTCTCGGAGATTAGTAATGCCCTTTCGTGGAAGCCAGCAATTTATTTGTGAGCCTATGGAAAAAGCTAACCTGATGACGTGAAGTACTTCAATTACAAAAAGAAAAATGAAGACTCAACAGATCAATGCCATTTCCTCGAATCAGGTATGCGGTTTTCAGTGAAAATAAGTCCATGTGTTCATACCTATTACATATCTTGGTCCTTATTTATGTACCATGCTTTCCAAAAGTTCTGCTATTATTAATAGATCTAATATTATTTTTTGCTGGTACACTTGATTGTGTGTGTAATGATATATCTCTGGAGAGGTCATGTGTTAAATTATTATACAGCAAGGAAAAAGCAACTTCTCAGAAGTTGGGGATGAAATTTCGAGGAAGCCAGCAAAGATGGTTTTATCAGCGGGCCCATGACCTAAATCACTATAATCCACCTCCCTAGAGTTGTTTGTCGGTCCGTGCAACAATCGAGTGTGCGGATCTCTACTTACTACTCTTGTCGGCCACAGAGAAGTTTGCGTCGACCAGACAATCGGAATAACGCGGTGGCACGCGGTCTTCAGTGAAAAGAAGTCCATGTGTTCACACCTTTGGATGTCTTGGTCCATCCTTAAGCCCACCGTTTGCCAAACTACTAAGAAAAGTTGTGCACCTCTGTCCTCTTAGTATAAGAATAACTCAACAAGAAGATCAAGTGGTGAACGAACAGCCTGGTAAAACACTGTACCAAATCTTAAGCTAGCACTCGCTGCCGATTGTTAAACTCCATCATCCAATGGCTTCTTCATCGAAACCCAAAAGGAAATACGACGTCTTCTTGAGTTTCAGAGGCGTGGATCTGCGCAACAACTTTGTCAGTCATCTCTACAAAGTTTTAGATCAAAATGGAATATACACTTTTATTGATAGAGAGGAACTGAGGAAGGGAGATCAAATATCGCCGGCGCTTATGGAGGCCATCGAAGAATCGTGCATCGCAATTATTGTTTTCTCGGAAGATTACGCTTCCTCTCGATGGTGCTTAGAAGAGTTGGCGAAGATTATGGAGTGTAAGGAGCAAAAGGACCTCACCGTTCTACCACTTTTTTATAAAGTGGATCCAAGAGAAGTGAGAGGGGGGAGAGAGAGTTACGGGAGAGCTCTGGCTAAGCATGAGTCCAAGTTCAGGAAGGATTCGGAGAAAGTGAAGAGATGGAAGAAAGCTCTTTTTGACGCCGGTAACTTGTCCGGGTGGCATTTAAATGATGGGTAAGTTGAGTGGAGTTTCATATTTTGTGCAAGAAACTAATCCTTACAAGTAAATATATAGACTGTTTGTGAAAAAAAAATTGAATTGACACGCACATGATTGTAAGTATAAAATGTTAAAACTTGATCTACCGATGGATAATATGTTAATTGGCGTTATTGCACTTACCCCATTTCATTGGAAGGAGTAAGAAAGTTCGCAACGCCAGATACAAAATAATTAGTTTGTACAGTCCATCTAAGGCAATAACATTGTGCTTCAGGTGTTTACTAGTTTTCGAACAAAATCTTAGCCACCATTCAAAGTTCGAAATAGCTCTTTTTTATTAAGCATGAAGATAAATCGCATAGAACATTCAAAAGAAAAAGTAAGTAAATAGTCATGTATAAATCAAAAGAACATGAATCACTTAAAAGCGACTAAATATTGAACCCTGAATTTGTTTTGATTGGTTTAAAGAGCTCTTGGAGTCCTAATTCGACTCGGTGAGAATAAATATTGTTTTGGCTATAATTATCTGAAAAAGGGACACACTGCTTTGTCATTATTGGATGGTGATTACTCATTAAATTCTTATTCAATTGCTAAAACGATGCTACAACTTCTTTTTCTGCTTGTCAGAGATGAGCCAGAGCTCATACAAGGAATTGTGAAGGAGATCTCTACTCACCTAGACCGAACACCTTTGCATGTTGCTAAGCATCCGGTTGGGATAGATTCCCAAGTGGTTAAGCTGATATCAATGTTAAACCTCAAGTCTGATGATGGTGTTCTCATGGTGGGAATATGGGGACAGGGAGGCATAGGGAAGACAGCTTTGGCAAAAGCCCTTTACAATGCTATTCATAGACAATTTAAAGGTTCATGTTATCTAGCAAATGTTCGAGAAACTTCAAAAGGTTGCAGGGGTTTAGCTACTTTGCAAGAAATATTACTAAAGGATATGTTATTACTGCAGCAAAGATTAGAAGTGTCGAATGTCGATGGAGGTATTAAAATGATACAACGCAGACTTCGCTACAATAAAGTTCTTCTCATCCTTGATGATGTGGATGACTTGGGCCAGTTAAATGCTTTAGCAGGAAATGGTGAGTGGTTTGGTAATGGGAGTAGGATCATCATTACTACAAGGGATAAACATTTGCTAACTTGTCATGAGATAGATCAGGATCATGTGTATGAAGTTAAAACACTGGATGATAGTGAAGCTCATGAGCTACTTAGTAAGCACGCTTTTCTGACACACAAAAAATTGAAAATCAGAACAAATCTAGTGAAAAGTGTTCTAAATCATGCTAAAGGCCTTCCTTTAGCACTTGAGGTGCTGGGTTCCTTCTTATGTGGTAGAAGAGAAGATGTATGGGAAAGTACACTGAATAAACTTTCTAGAATTCCTAACAAAACTGTTAATGATGTGCTCAAAATAAGTTATGATGGACTAGAGAAAAATGAGAGAGAGATTTTTCTCCACATTGCTTGCTTCTTTAAGGGGTGGGATAGGGAGTATGTAAAGAAAGTCCTCGATAGTTGCGGTTTGGAGGCAACAATTGGATTAGAAATTCTCATTGAGAGATCCTTGATAAAGATGGAGCACGGATTTGAAGGAATCCTACAAATACAAGCGCACGACTTGATTCAATTGATGGGTATGGATATCACGAACCAAGAATGCTACGATGATCCCAAGAGACGCAGTAGACTATGGTCGTATAATGATGTTCTTGATGTTCTGTCATGCGACAAGGTTTGCAAATATGATTGAAATTCTGCTCCTTAACTTTGACTCTATTTACTAAATATGCAAAACCTATATAGTCTTGTTTTATATACAGGGAGATTGTGCAGTAAAAGCCATAGTGTTGGAGCTACCCAAGCTGAAAGAGATGTACATCGGCCCTAATGATTTTACAAAAATGAGAGGGCTGAGATTGCTCATCATGCGCAATGTGCATAATTCTTTCCATGGTCCTATATGTCTTCCTAATGCACTAAGATGGTTTCAATGGGTTGGATGTGCTCCTGGAATTCCAGAATTTTCCTCTGGTCCAAAGAAATTAGTGGGACTTGATATGCGCAAATGCAATAATATCCCAGTACAGCCAAATCAATATAAGGTGAGCAGATACTTGCATAGCCCTTTTGAATTAAATATATGAAATTTGTGTTTTCTTCCGGATGTTTCTCAAAGTTGGTTTCATTGTCTTTGCAAAACTTCAACAAATTTTAAATTTTATTGATTTCGGGAAATTTCATTGTGATAGAACACAGTCTCGACATATATTCCGTTTTAATCATTAGCGAAAGGGTCTCTCATCTCTCCTTATAACACATAGTCTTGACATATATTCCGTTTTAATCATTAGCGAAAGGGTCTCTCATCTCTCCTTATATTAAAGAACAATAATATAAGGAGAGATGAGGTCACATTGTTTTATGCCTCTTGATGGATCAAAAGGGTCCAAAACACCACCATTAAGCAAAATGGTGGCAAATGGCATTCAACAAATTTCGCTAATGATTGTCAAATGGCATGACACATGGCATGGTTTTGTCATATGGCTCACATTCTCAGGCTTGTCACATGACACTTCATTTGAATTTTATGATTGCCACATGCAAGACATGAGGTACAATTTTATTTTAAACTAATGAAGGATAGATTTAGGTGAGGTGTACCGGTTTGTGATTTTTTGTTATATAAAAATTAGTTTGGGATAAATGTATCATATTGGTACCAGTTTAGGATTTTTGTAAGACGAAAATTAATTTGAAATCTGGGTACTGATTTGGGATTTTTAATGGTATTTATTCTGATTTACTAATTGTTAACACAATTTAATGTGTGAATTTTTTTATATTGTGTATGTATATATTAATAAAATAATATCTAAAATGCAAAATCATAAGAGTTATCTCTGATTTGTTAAAATGTGTGTGTATATATATGTATAATTACTGGTAAAGTTTCTAAATGTTTAGTAATTTCTCAATATAATATCTAATTCTCACAAAATCAGTTTATAGTAATATGAATGAAAAGTTAATTAATAGTTTAAGAAGTTTACTCAGAAACCTGAATAGTAGGTTCCAACTTGCCTGATCTCCTGATGCTCCTTGCTTCCTTCCACATGCAGAGTGTTGTGGCTAAAGCATATGTATTCGTGACATATCCTTTCCTCGAGAAACCCAATCTCCCCGATGTGCTGTGTAGCCAATTTTATAACCCTCAATCAACCTAAGCCCCTAAAATAAATTATGATATTATTAATCATCAATATTTAAAAACCATGGATAACGTGAATGACATCCGATATTAAATTACCATCATTTCACAAGTTTGACTCCCCCTCTATGTACAACAACTTACATAGGCCTATTTGTGGACTCCGCAGTAGATCACCTCTACATTAAATAAACAAAATGCTTAATATTTATGATTGAAGACCTAAAATGTAGTAATTTCTTAAAAGATCACTAGCGGATATTCTTCACTAGTAACCTATTCTCAAACGGGAATTCCATGGTTTAAATGTAATGAAGCAACATCATCATGCAAACACCCTTTTTTGTCCCTTTCCAAATGCTAACAAAGCTGGTTTCACTATTTTTGTAGGACTTCCAAAATTTGAAGTACATTAATTTCAGTCACTGCAAGTCGCTGGTTCGCATGCCTGACCTCTCATGTATTCCAAATCTCGAGGAATTGGATCTCCGTAATTGCAAAAACTTGGTAGAAGCCCACGAGTCCATTGCATATCATGACAAGTTACAAGTGTTGAATTTAAGGGAATGCTCTAAACTTAGTGTTTTTCCAAATGTGCTCAAGTCCAAAAATCTGCAAGCTCTCGATCTTTGTGATTGCAAAAAATTTGAAAGGTTTCCTGATATTCCTAATAAACTCGAAGCCTTGAAAGAGCTTCGTTTACGAGGGACCGCTATTAAAGAACTTCCTGCATCAATAGAGAATCTTGTCTCTTTGGAGACAATGTATTTAAATTTTTGCAAGAACCTAGTAAGTCTTCCCTCTAGCATTTATAAGTTACAAAACCTTAAAAGCTTGCTAGTTGAGCATTGCACAAATTTTATCGGGTTTCCAAAGTACGATGATTCAGCTGATTCGTCCATGAAGACCATACTTTCAAATTTACGCAGGTTGGACCTTTATGGATGTAATCTGTCCGAAATAGAATTTTTTGAGAATCTTTCCTTTTTTCCCTTCTTGAGAGAATTGAGTTTGGGGAAGAACAATATTACTAGCATTCCTACATCCATCAATAAGCGTAAGCGTATGTCCCGTTTGAATGTTAGAAAACGCCATCAATTACAAGAGATGCCCGAGCTTCCACCATTTTTGAATTATCTTCTGGCGGATGGTTGTGAATCTGTGCAAGAAACTGGAGATTTAACTTTAGTTCATGAATTTGTCCACAGAGGGTTGACCAAGGCTAATATTTCCCCACTTAACCAGGTTACTCTCTCTCTCTCTCTCTCTCTCTCTCTCTCTCTCTCTCTCTCTCTCTCTCTCTCTCTCTCTCTCTCTCTCTCTCTCTCTCTCTCTCTCTCTCTCTCATATATTGATGTGGAGTATATGCTGGATAGTGTGCTTGTATATTGCATGTATATTGCAATAGCAGAAAATGCAAGTGGAGGCTTAAGAAAAGCAAACAAATATAAAGCGAGGTCAAACGTTTGATGTCAATGGGCATTCTCCCAAGAGAAATTATCAAAAGAATGGAAGAGGTTTTTCTTTATATCAATGTGGTATCCCAGAGTTTTTTGAGTACCCAACTAATCTTCATTAGATGGGACAATCCAACACTAGGTAATTACCAAGGACATGTAGGTTTATGTTGCTGAGAGTAGCACAAAGAAAATGCACCCTTGTGGTGATTTGAACTCTGGACTTGATTGAGGATGATAAACATGTTTACTCCTTGTGAAACCTTAAGGTTAAAGACATGTCAATAGAATAATGGAAAGTTGAATAGAATAGTGTGCTGTGGCTATGTCGGGTGTCACACGATCGTTGGCTCCATTTTCCTCCCTCAACATTTATTTCGTTACAGGAAATATGAAAGGGTGTTAATTAAATAGATAACATTTATGTTCTCTAGGACTAGAACTTAAAAAATACATTTCTATAGTTAGAAATAAAGTTAGAAAACATAGCGGCATAATTAACCTACACAGAAAACTACCATATATAAAAGGTAATTTACGTAAGAAATATAGTTATTATGTAGCCAAAAAAACTTTATTAATTAATCGTTTTGAGATGGGCATTAATTGATAAGGAGATCACATGGTGAAACATAATATCAAATAGCGTTCTTTAAATCAGTTATCATGTGGATGGTACAAAATGAAAACCAATACATTACAAAAGTTAACTAAGAAAGAAAAATTTCGCACCATATAGTCTGTATTTTGGCGTAAATAATCAGTATATGACAATGATTTGAGACTAACGATACCAATAACAAGGAAAATGTTGCATATGTAATTGGCTTGAATAATCAGTGTAGCCAAATGCATTGAAATGGGGGTGGCTACTGTACTCTTATGGGAATGATTTCTATCACGATACTTGTATATTAATGCAAATAAGGATCACTGGATCTCTACTCATTTATAGAGCTCCAGTTCGAAGTGGAATTGACTAGGATTACTTACTAACTCAAATTGAATTTTCTATTTAGGTACAAATAACAAACTCAGTATTTTCTAACGGTCTATCTTTATAACAGGATCTTCATTACACAGTTTGTCTGTCTGAAAAAGAGATGCCAAAGTGGATCCTCCCTATTGAAGAGGATTCCGTATCTTTCATGGCTTCAGAGGACCTCTACGACAAATTTCTTGGATTTGCTCTCTATGTCGCTCTCGGTAATGATGAACAAAGAAATGGACCCCCTTTTGAGCTTGTACCACGTGTTGATGGTGAACGTCGGAATGACTATGTACCATATTGGAAACCCTTTGAGTTGAATTCAGATTATACATGGCTTGAGTATTTCATGCCATTTGAGCTGTGGGGAGTAGTCAATTTTGGTCAAATTGATGGGAGATACACACAATTTAGCCTTATGGTATCAAGTAGGCACTTGAAAAAGTGGGGATTCCGAATAATATGCAAGCAACTAGAGGACAATTTAAAGGTTGAGATTCAAGACAATCAGCTAATCAATCCAGTATTCCTCTACGAGGTTGGTCATGACTCAACTGGTTCAGAAGTCAAGAGTTCACTTATGCACCAAGTTAGTTCGATCAAAACAGATCTACAAAAAGGCTTGCAAGGTCAAATGAGTACTAAGGAACATAGTCAAATAGGATCAAAGAGAAAACATGAGTTTATTCTCTCTCAAGGCAAGCGAATCAAGGCGATGTTGACTTCGAATTCGACCGATGGAGATGAGAATGAGATGAGAATGATAGATCTACTAAAAAACTTGCATTTGTAGTTGGAATGACGGAAACTTGCTAAGGAAGAAATTTGTAGGTGAGTGAACTTAGCTATATTGATTACAATGTCTTCTTCCTTCTTGTTCTTATCGTTTCTTTCTCGAAAAAACTTGTTACCCAAGTTGACTGTATATCCTAAATAAAATTATGTAATTCTTTTTTCTCTTTATCTCTTTTCTTTTTTTAAGTATCATAATATATATTTTTTATTTTGTTTTTGTTAAATCCTCTTTTCTCGGCCCTAGGCAAACTTCTCATTCCACGGACACGACTACTCATTTTCCATCTGACACCACTGAGCTCTGACGAATGGAAGATCACCACCTGCCAATGGATGCAACGAACAGAAGAAGTTCACTTCCTAAAACAGAGTCCCTAGTGAACTGACGGCGATAGACACTGGCAAGCGAAGGCAACGGACTACCACCGCTAGCCGAAGCCGTGGTTTTGGGCTTCATGCAAATCGCTATGGATCAGATAACACCTGGCACATCCGAATTGTATTAAGTTGGTGTAATACTTGAGCTGGATTTTGAATTCGATTCATATAATGTTACAATTGCACAGGAACTTGAAGAATGTGTGGTTGAATTTGTTCGAGAGACATTGAATTAGTGTTTCTTCTTAAGTTTAGTCTGTGGATGCCTGGAAGTGAATTCATTGGTAATCGACCTTACACGCCGCAAAATCAGTAACAATCCCTAGAAGGTATATCTTTTATGTGTTGTAATTATAATATCAATAATGTGATCCCACACTCAGTTTATTATTGTCTACATTAATTAATTTCATCGACGTTTATTGAGCGCATTAAGGTGTGTGATAACTATGGTGATCGCCCAATATCAAGATAACTATATTGATAGAAGAAGTTATCTATAAAAGTATGAATGAGGATATAAATAGGTTATCTAAGCTAAACCCTCTTATCATCGAATCCAATTATCTGATTTAAAATATCAGAAAACACACTATCGATGTTGAGAGGGTGATTGGCTAGAAGTAGGGGTGCCATAACCGAACCGAAAAATCGAATCGAAATACGAACCGAACCGAACTGAACAGAAAATTTGGTGCATTTCGGTTCGGATCATGGAAAATTAGTCGTAGCTTTTTTGCGGTTTGGGTTATTTCAGTTTGGTTCGGTTAACCAAACTGAACTGAAAAGCCAACTTAAATTAAAATCTCTCTTCTTTCTCACCCCTCTCAAACCCTAACTGGCTCTGAACCGAGAACAAGGACTCTCTTCTCCGGTAGCTCCTTGGTCCCTCCTGCCAGTCGCATCTCGGCTGATTTCGCCGGAACCCGTCGGAACCCTAGTTCCATTTATTTTCTCGTCAAGAAACAGGGGAAGAAGAAGGAAGAAAGGAGCCACTTGATTCCGAGGAAAGACTGGAAACGGAAAAAAGCAAGGAGAGGTATCGGTCTCTAGGCCAGCCATGAGCTCCCGGGAGTTGATGATCTCGGGCCGGGTCGGGTCGGACCATACAGGCCTGGATTCGGACCGGAAGGACTTGGGGTTGGAGAGAGGGGAGGGAAAGATGGATTCGAGGGTGAACCGTGGCAGAGGAGTTGGCGGCATGGTGGTGGTGGCAGCGGCGGTGGCAGAGGGCTGGGATGGGTCAAGGGTGAGGAGACCGTAGGTGGTGGAGGTGAGGGAGACGATGTGGTGGTCGAGGGCGGAGGTGGTCCTGATGGGAGAGAACTCGTTGTCGTGACTCAGCAGGTTAGAGGAGACGCAACCCATGGTCCCTTGGTAATCACTGTCAGAGCTCCGGAGCTACTAAACTTATCAGCTTTCCTTCCTCTTCTTGAAACCGAAACTGTGACATTCTGAATTTCGACCCATTTTCGGAATTTATGAAATGAATATTTCTTTAATGCACTTTCAGTGAAATCTCGCTCGAAATTGATCACTCTCGAGTAGACTAACCGTTAGGGAATGGCTAGCTAGGAATCGAGTACGTGGACCTAAGAACTTGGCCATGGATTGACACTTCGACCATAAGGATTGGCGAGGGAATATTTTGGACCGTTAAAGGCCGATTCAAGGATGGTTATGGAACGATTCGCAAATGTCGTGCAATTGGATAGCGGGTGATTCCGCTTGGCCATTGTATGAATTTCGAACGATCTTAAACCTAATCCGAACGATCACGTCATTTGGAACTAGTGATTGACCCTCGCAATTACATGACAACCGAGGTCGCCATGGCTCGAGTAAACTTAGATGTGGCTCGATATCGAATCGGCCACGAGTCGATACGCGTAATTCCTAAAAGCCGCCCGTTAGTTCGAGATACACTAAAGTCGCATTCGATTGAATTTTGGCTATTAATTAGACTCCGAATTGGGTATCGAAGTTTCAAGATTTCCACAACTAATTTATTGGACGTCGTCTCGTTAAAGTGTGGCCAAT